GCATCATCTCAGCTCAGTGCAACCTCTGCCTCCCAGGTTCAAGTGATTCTTGGGCCTCAGCCTCCTGAGTAGTTAGGATTACAGGTGTCCACCACCATCACCAGCTAATTTTTGTATTTTCAGTAGAAACGAGGTTTTACCATGTTGGCCAGGCTAATCTCAAACTCCTGACCTCAGGTGATCCACTGGTCTTTCCCTCCCAAAGTGCTAGGATTTCAGTGAGATTACAGGCATAAGCCAAGGCGCGCCCAGCTTGTCTAGTTTTTTTTCTTCTCACTCTGTCACCCAGGCTGGAGTACAATGGCGCCATCTTGGCTCACTACAACCTTCACCTCTAGGGTTTAAGCAATTCTTCTGCCTTAGCCTCTCAAGTAGCCTGGATTACAGGTGCCCGCCACCACGGCCTGGCTAATTTTTTGTATTTTTAATAGAGATGGCGTTTTCACCCTGTTGACCAGTCTAATTTCAAACTCCTAACCCCAGGAGATCCACCCACCTCGGCGTTCCAAAGTGCTGGGATTACAGGTGTGAGCCACTGCGCCTGGCCTGTCTCTGTTATTTCTTGTAACTGCATGCGAATCTATAATTATCTCAAAATAAAATTTTTTTAAAACAAGAAAAAAATTTGGCCAGGTGCAGTAGCTCATGCCTGTAATCCCAGCACTCTGAGAGGCTGGGACAGGAAGACTGATTGAAGCCAGGAGTTCAAGACCAGCCTAGGCAACATGGCAAGACCCTATCTCTACAAAAGTTCTTTTTAAAAAATTAGCTAGATGTGGTGGTGCACTTGTAGTCCCAGCTACTCAAGAGGCTAAGGCAGGAGGATCCCTTGAGCCTGACAGTTTGGACAGCTTGAGGCTGCAGTGAACAATGATGGTGCCACTGTACTCCAACCTAGGCAAAAAAAAAAAAAAAAAACAAGGTAAGTTTCTAACAGCTGATTGGGTTTTACCTTTTTGCCACACCTTATCCTTTGGAAGAGTGATGTTCAGGTGGAAGTGAGTGCAGTTAGGCTGATACTGAAACCCCAGGTAGAGAGTCATTAAAAGGGGACTGTCAGGATCTATGCTCACTATCAGGGATTTCTCCAAGGACGTGACGTTCACTGTGATTGTAAACTGATCTGTGCTCATGTTGACGCTGGTGGGATGGGTTTCCAGGCTAACATTTCTCCAGAGCATGATCTAGAATAAGAGACAATCATCACAATGGTCAATTCATTGATGCCTTTTAAAATCCATTATATTGATAAGGTAAGGAAATTTCCTAGGTCTTTCTTTTTTTTTTTTCCCTGAAATGGGGTCTTGCTAGTTGGCCGGGTTCATCTTGAACTCCTGGTCTCAAGCAATCCTACTGCTCCAGCCTCCCCAAATGCTAGGATTATAGGCATGAGCCACTGTCGCAGCCAAGGCTTCCTCATTGGATGTTAGTAGCTGATACTGCTGAGGTTAAAAGTATATAGACCAAGACCTAAAACAG